TCATTAAGCAAAAAGATATAGTATCAAATGTATAAAGTCATATTGTATATACAGTGATAATATTTAGAGAACCATTATCATCATACCGTAACTAGAGTTTGTAACCGGATTGATTTTTTAAATCTGAATTTATTTAATAAGTAATCTTCAACTTCGAATTTAAATTTGAGTTGTCAAAATCTAAATTTATTATATTAATACAAAAATAACAAAAGTAAAATTAAATATCAAATTAAATAATATTATCGTAAATATGCTGAGCACTTTTGTTCTTTATGTATTGGCAGTTTAAGTATTGCAGATTCGGTAGATTAGATTTGTATCCAAATTTAAATTTAATTAAAGAAAGTCAAATCCGGCTTCAAATTCTAATAATAATACCAAGTTATTTTGACTTTTAATTGTAAAATTTCTCAAAATTTGGGTCCTATATATAATTATTTTTACTTTGGGCCCTTATTTGTAATTATTTTCAATTTTTAGACCCTTATATGCAATTTTCCTAATAATTATGTATCATAATGTGAGCGTTAACTATATATATACATATAAAGCCCAAAATCATTTGTTAGTAGAATAAAATTTGCAATGCAAACTTTTTTATTCGCACCAAAGTTCAACAAAAAATACGTGTATTCAAATCCTGAAAACACATATCAACATTTTGTTAATGCCTATGCTTTTTATAAAATGGCATCAACTGGAATACCAGATACAAATAAAAGCGAGTTATATAAAGAAACAGCCACAGAATGGTATTCTATAAAAAAAAAGATGATAAGAATATTGCAGCAAAAATAACAGAATATTTAAATACTCCAGTACAATTGTGTGGTTGTATTACAGCTTCTATATCCTATGGGCAGCCTTCTCAATCTCTATCTCCTTCTCAACTTTATTCTAGCAATCTACAACAACAAGTTTTTTCTATAACTGAACTGGAAGAACCAATTCCCAATAACGCGGTAGCCCAAAAGAATAGTTTTGAGAAAATCAAAGAATTAAAGACGGAATTATCAGAATTAGAAAAAATGATTACAATAATAACTAATTTTCAGCACCATAATGACCTTAGATCTCAGATAATTGAGGTTAAAAAGAATATCACTGAAGAAGAAGAACAGCTTAACAAACTCAAAAGACATGCAGCTAGCCAACAAAAATCTCAAATAAAAAAATTAAAAGCACTTAACGATAATAGCGTTGTTGTAAAATATGACTCTCCCAGTTGCCTGCCTCTTCTTTTTCAACATCCAAATCTTCACGATCAAATTCACAGTTGTATAGAATTTGGAGAAGCCAATGCACAGAGAAGATGTGAAAAAATTAAAGTTAGAACCGTAGAGAATCTTCGAACTACCTTAGAAGCAAACTATAATATATATATATCCTGCACCAGTATAAGAAATTATATTTTATCTCGTTCAAACCATAGTTTGGCAGCTAGAACCCACCACTATCCTGCTTTTGTTGGAATTGCTAGTGTTTCAAGAGATGATAGAAGAAACTATATTGATGAGCATTACTGTCTTGCATCTGTAAAAAATACAAAACAGTTTGCTATAGCTTTTGCTAGCTTCGCTGTAGTGCTCTTGCAAGATGACAAAGCAAAAGTTTCTGTTGGTATTCTAGCGATAGGGAGGCATTTTTAGACTATGCAATCTATTAACAAACCAGTATCGGTTTCAGACTACGATTTTTCTATTGGTACATCGCAAAAATTAATACCGTCTGTGTACTTGATGATAGATCTCAAAAAATCAAATGAATCTTTACAACATAGCCAATTGTCAATTTTTATTAGAGCTCTGTCTCACATGTAACAGACATCGTATCTTTAGTCAATAATGAAAATTTTTCTACAATTTTTAAGTGTGACAATGAGGTCAAGCCTCTATAGGTTATTATTGTGGATAGTGGACCTAACAAAATCTTCATCATTTAAAAAATATTAATCAATACTGTAAGTTATTTCGATTTTTAGATTTATATTACCTTACAGTTAGGACACATGCACCAGGTCAATCAGTGTACAACCCTGTTAAGAGAAGTATAACTATACTTTCAGATATAGTTGTAAAAAATAACATAATTTTAGTAATAGTTTTAAATACCGTATATTATAGTATCTTTTAAAATAATACTTACGTAATTAAGACCTTGGATACTCCTTCAAAAAAGGCTGGTTTTATCCTAAACCAGGGGTTAGGTTCTTATCCTAAACCACAATTGATGATCTCTATTTTAAAAAATTTATTTATATAGGAGGTTTAGGGTAAAGAATCTAAATCCCAGATCTATTTTAAGAACATCCTTCAAAAAAAAAGATCTGGTTTGTTTCACTAACAATTAATTCACCGAAAATACGATTCATTGAGAAATTTATTTCACTAACAGTACGATCTATTGACAGTATATTTCACCGACAAGTTTTTTTATAAATTATACTACCTTAACTCTAATTCCAACTTGACCCTAATGACAATAATCAGAATTACTTTGTCATGAAATGACTATTGGTGAATCATACTGTCAGTGAAATGAACTTGTCAGTAAATAGTACTGTCAATGAATTAATTGTTAGTGAAATGAAAAAAACTGAAAAAAGGATTATATATTAGAATTAGGGCTTAAACTACTATAGTAATTTGCCAGCCTGCATTTCATTGTTTAAAATGTCCTTTTTTGATACAGCAAACTAAATATTTGTTTCATATTTAGCTTATAAATTAAAAATAATACTTTTAAATAGCCAGTATTTCAATATAGTCATTTAAGCCCTAGTTAGAATGTGAAATATCTGGATATAATATAAGAGACATCTACGCAATATTAATTGATTTTTATTAATATATTCTTGATTCAAAAAATTTTAATATAAAAAATTGCCAAGTATAATACTTAGATGCTAACTTGGATTTTGACTGTGAAATGTTCGTATTCGGGATACTATGGTCCACGCTGTATGATATTAAATTTTAAAAATCAAATTTTTAAATAAAACCCAGGTACTGTAAGTAGTGGTATACGGCAAACGATTTGATTTACTGAACTTAATAAACTTACATAAATTCGTGTATTGTAAGATTGTAATTTTCATAATAAAACCCTATTTTTAGAAAAACTTGCAGGAATTATATTAGAAATCAATTATTTTGGAAACTATTTAAATTCGCAGAGCAAAATTTGTGATTATGAATTAGAACTTCATAATTTTCAACATGCTGGCCAGGCTCTCACCAATTTATAGAGAAGAGTCCCAATTTATAGAAAACCTGTATCTGTTAAGTACATCGATAAAGAAAGCAATTCGTGTGATGAAATTGAATTTACAATACCAGAAAAAACAAATACACCAAGTTTAAAAGAGGATAATTCATCTGTGCCTTGGTTATGGATCGAGTCTTACTATCAAATTTGTAGATACTCTTTTGATATTAAAAAGTGCGATGATTTGTCATGTTGACTCTAAAATAGGCTAGTAATATTGCTATATTTCTAGGTGAAAATAATGGTTTTTTATCTCTGGTGATTAAAAGACGAGATGGCCATTATCTTAATGCTATGCACACACTTCAATACTTCAATAATCTAAAAATTCCTGCATATGATACGCATCTTCTCTTTCTTTTCTCTGATGATCACTCATGATGATATTGTAAATTATATGGTAAATAACTTCTCTACAATAGTCATGCTTGCAAAGTACAAAAAAGCTATTTATCCCAGTATACAAACTTGACATTCAGAATAGCAATCCCAAACTAATTCAGCAACTTTTGATGATTTTTTTCTATTACCCTCGTTGTCTGAATCTTGATCACAGGTTGTAATTGTGCCGTCTCAATCCTTTTCTGATATTGAGTAGGTATTTTAAATACAAAGATTAGTAAATTATTAAAGCAAATAACTCAAATAATAAACTGATTATAAAAATAAGCTTTATATATAAAATATATAAAATCTTATGTCGAATAAAATATATAAAGATTAGAAATTCGTATGATTTCCAATACTGATTTCATAAGAAGAGTATAGGATAATGATTAGATTATACGCATATTAGAGGGAGTATAAGATAATGATCAGGTTATACACATACTAGAGGGGGTATAGGATAATGATCAGGTTATACATATACTAGAGGGGGTATAGGATAATGATCAGATTATATATATACTAGAGGGGGTATAAGATAATAATCAGATTATACACATACTAGAGGGTATAGAATAATGATCAGATTACATGCATACTAGAGAAGTATAGGATAAAGATCAGGTTATACACATACTAGAGGGGTATAGGTTAATGATCAGGTTATAGAAAATGATCACGCTGGAGGAGGTATAGTATAATGATCAGGTTTAGGGGGGTATAGAATAAAGATCAGGTTATACACACACTACGCACTTGCTATTGACCAATCAAATCAACTAAAAAATAAATTACAGTATAAGTTATATAGTAAGTGTCGTTTAAAACTTTTTAGATCAAAATAGAAAAAGCAGTTTACTTATACATAAAAACCAGAAAAAAAATGATTTTTTTGTTAGTTAAGTTAAACTAAAAACTTAGTAACTCTCACAATTATTCAAATGTCCTGTTTTTTATTCTAACATAATCTTAAAACTGAGAGATTTTGTTTAAAAAACACAAAATATATGGATTATGCAAAGTTATACTATAGAGTAAGGTAACTGGAAATGTTTTTGGCTTAAGCTGTTTTGTTATGCTAGATTCAAATATACTTTATCACTAACTATTTAGTTTTAATAAGGTTTTAGTAACAAGAGATCTGGATTTATGTTTCAATTTGGTCAGATTTTGTAATATGTTGGTTTTAGTGATGCAATAGAATCGTTCTAATGATAGCCGTAGCTTGCTAATCAACTAAATACTTTTCACACAAAATTTTAGTATCAATATACGATATATTCATCAAGTAGTTATCTAAGCATACAATATTGGTAAATGAAGAAAAATGAAGTTAATATCATTCTTATGTGCTGCTACTGTAGAGTTTACCAGAGTAACCACCAAAAGTCCAGTCACATGATAAGATGCTACAGCTATAATATAATTTCTTAGAAAATTGTTGAATCGTTTAGTTCTTGTATGCAGCTTTATTGCTGTGAAAATTTCTTAAAATATGTAACAAAAACAATATACAGATTATTAAGATATGGCTATAGCGATAATGCAGATAATGTGACCGTACTTTTGGTAGTCACTCTGGTGAACTCCTACTGTATAAGTGATATTAGCTCTAATAAAAGAAACTTGTTGCCATATAATTGTTGTTCCACCTCTAAAGTAAATATCTATAAGCATGAATAGATTATTTTAGTTAATCTCTAATACTCGCTTAATACAATTAAATGAAAATGATTAATTTATTTTAAGTACTTCGACTATACTGAAATTACAGTATTATAATATTTTGATAAATGACTATTAACTATAAATAAAAAGAAATTAACATGAATAAGAATAAATTAAATGAGAAGTAAATTAATATATGAATGACACCAGAAAAAATCTGAACTTCGATCATATAAATTTTATATGGACCAAGTTTGGTTTTCTCTTGATGTTATTAAATAAATATCAGCTTACTTTTGAATAACCAATTGAAATAGTAATTAATCACTACAAAAAAATTGAATATAAACAAATTAAGTGTTAACTTTGAATAATTTGATTAATCAATATAAAGAAATTGAATACGTAAGAAATTATCTGCATTGATTAAATACAATTAACTAATAAAACAAATAGTCATAAACAGTTCTTAGTGCTTCTCTAATATCAGAATAGTTTTTAATTTTGTTTAATAATCATTATATAATTACCTCAGCACTTCTTTGTTTTAACTCCTTTCACAAAATCTATAAACTTTATGACTCACGACTTCATATTATTAGCCTATATTATAGTCAAATTTTTTTATTAGTTGGGATTATGAAGAATAAGTTTTTATAATATAAATTGCAGATTTTAATTATTTATTGTGCGTATAGACTAAACCTAAATACTTAAACATACCTCTTATCTAACTTCCAAACTACTTCGTGGATTGCCAAATTACTTTGACAGTTTATAAAAACTTTCTGGTTTACTCTTCTTGAATTCGAATTTGTGGTTCTGAATTCAATCTTGTAATATAAAATCATACTTTAATAGGATCTTATTATAATAAAATAATTTGCAAAAATTAGTCAATCATTATAAAGCCTGCTATGTTTGTGTAATCTGATTTTCGGTTAGACCCTCACCCCTAAAAAATCAGGTGATAAATGACATCTTCCTAATATAATATTGAAGTTAAATATTCTAGATATTATAAATATTATAAAGTTGTGGATAAAGAAGAGTATTTGTAGAAATTGTATGGTTTAGCTTAGCCTTATGCTTAACAAGTTTAATATAATATAAAAATATTTGTTTACAGATTTGTTGACTAAACACAAGATTATAAAGTCAGTATTTGATAGTTGGTATAATAACAATATTAATGATTTATCGAGTATGTGTATCAGTAATGCACTTAGTATCTGCAATTTGAATAAAATATCTCTTAGATTGTAGACCAATGCAAGCAAATTTGCCTGTGTTGGTATTAAAATATGCTACTAATCTATTTTTTTTAACAATTTAAAATATTCAAATAA